TAGACCTACACAAGGCTGGAATGGGCTACAAGACCATCGCCAAGCAGCTTGGTGAGAAGGTGACAACAGTTGGTGCGATTATTCGCAAATGGAAGAAACACAAAAGAACTGTCAATCTCCCTCGGCCTGGGGCTCCATGCAAGATCTCACCCCGTGGAGTTGCAATGATCATGAGAACGGTGAGGAATCAGTGCAGAACTACACGGGAGGATCTTGTCAATGATCTCAAGGCAGCTGGGACCATAGTCACCAAGAAAACAATTGGTAACACACTATGACGTGAAGGACTGAAATCCAGCAGCGCCCGCAATGTCCCCCTACTCAAGAAAGCACATATACATGCCCGTCTGACGTTTGCCAATGAACATCCGAATGATTCAGAGGAGAACTGGGTGAAAGTGTTGTGGTCAGATGAGACCAAAATTGGAGCTTTTGGCATCAACTCAACTCGCCGTGTTTGGAGGAGGAGGAATGCTGCCTATGACCCCAAGAACACCATCCCCACCGTCAAACATGGAGGTGGAAACATTATGCTTTGGGGGTGTTTTTCTGCTAAGGGGATAGGACAACTTCACCGCATCAAAGGGACGATGGACGGGGCCATGTACCGTCAAATCTTCGGTGAGAACCTCCTTCCCTCAGCCAGGGCATTGAAAATGGGTCGTGGATGGGTATTCCAGCATGACAATGACCCAAAACACACAGCCAAGGCAACAAAGGAGTGGCTCAAGAAGAAGCACATTAAGGTCCTGGAGTGGCCTAGCCAGTCTCCAGACCTTAATCCCATAGAAAATCTGTGGAGGGAGCTGAAGGTTCGAGTTGCCAAATGTCAGCCTCAAAACCTTAATGACTTGGAGAAGATCTGCAAAGAGAAGTGGAACAAAATCCCTCCTGAGATGTGTGCAAACCTGGTGGCCAACTACAAGAAACGTCTGACCTCTGTGATTGCCAACAAGGGTTTTGCCACCAAGTACTAAGTCATGTTTTGCAGAGGGGTCAAATACTTATTTCCCTCATTAAAATGCAAATCAATTTATAACATTTTTGACATGCATTTTTCTGGATTTTTTTGTTGTTATTCTGTCTCTCACTGTTCAAATAAACCTACCATTAAAATTATAGACTGATAATTTCTTTGTCAGTGGGCAAACGTACAAAATCAGCAGGGGATCAACTACTTATTTTCCCTCACTGCATGACAGTAATGACAGGAATGTACATGTATACTGCTGACAGTTGAAAGTACAGCAAACAGCACGCTGATACTATACAAGCTCTAAGTATTTCAAATGCCACCGCTGTCGTCACTGTGAACAATCCAGTGATAAAGAACAAGCAGTATTTCAATCCTCAACCTATAATATTTGCCTCCACGGATCACATAAGACTTTATGAGTTCCAGGTCACATATGCTCTAACTAACTGCTCCCATGCAGCTCAGTTACTATCAATCACTGTGTGGCAGCATCTCCATCCATCTCCCCTGAGACAGAAAGGGCTTGACTCCATAGTGATGCCTAGATCCCATGCAGACTTCACAGTTTGACTGTATGTTGATGCCCTGATAGATCCAATGCCCTGATAGATCATCCACTAAGCTGCCGGTGCCATTTGGTTTACCCCACACAGGTGTCACCCAGCCAGGCTAATTGCACCATCAAAGCAGAGAATACCGGCACTCCATGGCGCGAGGCGGTGTGAGACTACTGAACATGCTCAAGGCGCCGGGGTGAAAGCAAGACCCTCTCAGCAGTTACCACGGTAACAAATTGATCTGACCTCTGGAGTGGAGACACCCGTCAGACACTTTGATGCATAAAAATCTATTCATGCACCACGCTTTAATCCATTCCCTTCTCTCTCCCTCTCCCCCGAGACACACACACACGGGCGTACACACATATGCTCGCAAGACCACAAACTCGCGCACGCAGGCATGCACACAGAGTTACAGGCACACATATACGCACACATGCAAGCACAAACATACACACCCCCACACACACGTCACACTCACAAACACAAACACACATACAAAACTCTTCCCATTAACATGGAGGAGGTAGGCAGAAAAATGTGCACAACTTTGATAGAGAGCAGGAGCCATGCTGTGTAAAGGTGTGTGATGTCACAACAAGTCATGTCCATTGAGGATAAGAATCCCCACAGATAAATTAGTAACACCTCAAGACATTACATTCCAATAGGAGAGGAACAGTCAGAGTATTAAGTGACCCTGTTTCTATTTTAATATAGATATGAGGCTCATGAGGCTCATATACATTACAATATAAATAGGGTAACTTTATCCCCCCCATAACAAATTACAATCATGCAGATAGATACATAAACAGTACATAAGACACACACAAATATAAATGCAGTATTGACATAATGAAGTTGATTGATGTGGATGTGTGTTCCAGACCGTTAAACCACTTAGGTTTTACCAACCAGTAGCAACGCAGCCTGCGAAGGAACAATTGACATAAGGTCATCACAGTAATCAAACTAATTGGCAACACCACCATAAAACTAATTGAGCGTGAATGCCAATCATGATTATGTAATATTTCAATGCCTGGCAGGGGTGAATCAATCAGACCTCTCTCTGTGAACCCACTGCAGACTGGCTGGCTGGCTGGGGGGATGTTGATATTTACACACACACACACACACACATGCAGGCACGCAGGCGCACACACACACACACACACACACACACACACACACAATACACACAGGGTCCCTGACCTACCAGCTCTCACCGTCTCATGTCAGAATTAGACGTTCATCCATGTTTCTCAAATGTCACATTTCGAAGTTGTTCCAAATGTCAAATTTCAAAGTGTTTAAGGTTAAGTTCAGGCTTTAACTCAAAATTCTTAAGGTTAGGCATTAACTCCGAATGGCTACGGTAAGGGTTAAGGTTTGGGATTGGCTTAAAACAAAAATATAAA